GAAGAGAGAGAGAGAGAGAGAGAGAGAGAGAGAGAGAGAGAGAAATTATAATACCCCAAAACAACGCTGTGTAGATTAAAAGAGAATAGAGATCAGCACAGGACCTGGCAGGAGGCTGTCATAAGAAGTTAGAGTCCATTTCTCCTTCTAGGAGAACTAGGTTTGGGAGCCCTTTAGGAACAACCAGGAGGGGAGAAAAGGTGGGCAAGTGGAGAATAGCTCCCTATTAATGGGTGGGATGACGGGCTTTTTCCCTGTTGCACTTAGCGCATAGGAGGCTATCAGTAGAGTGCTTTGTTTGAAATGGGAAGAGTTTCACATTTCCCTCCCATGTCATTCAAGTCTTATTTGATTCCTCAACATTAACCTCTCTGTACAATGTTACATCTCTCGGATTCTTTTTTATGCCTCATATTAATCCAAGGACTATGCCTAAGACTGCCAGAGAGACACTCACGTCTAAAGGTGCTGGCAGAGGTAGCCTTCTGAGATGCCACCATCCCCAGAGTAACCTTTGGGCCAACTGAGCTTGCTCTCAGGTCAACTTGTTCAAACTAGTTAGTAAATCTAACTCTGCTGCTCACAAATATTTATTGCAGGCCTGTAATAGGCATGACACGGCACTGAGTGCCCTGTGGCTGTCTTGTGAATGCAGAGGTGGTAGAGTTCTGTGGAGGCTTTGGCAGCCTGCAGACCTGCATGTGAGTCCTGACTCTCCTTCTTACACGTTATGTCACTTTGGCAATTGCTTAACCTCTCCAGCCTCAGTTTCCTCATTTGTAAGGTGAACATAGCAGTGATTCCTGACTCACTGGAACCGCGGCTGATGGGTCTGGGAGGCTGCGCTTGCAATGTTCTTAGCACTGCAATTGCCACCAAATGAGTGCCCAGTAAGCCACTGTTCCTAGAGCTATAACTCTGGCGCCAGCAGGTGGCACACACTGGATATGCCACTAGTAAACCCTTGAGCTTCCTTGGTGCTCCATAGTGTCTGGAATGTCACACCTTGCATAACACTTCAAAGCTTGTCATCAAAAGGCCAGCAAGAGGCAGCAGCTTCCCAGGAACTGGCCTTGGGTCCTGCCCCAACTCCACTTTCCCGCTGGTGCAGCTGTCCACACCCTGTGCAGGACCAGGACTCTCCCCTGTGCAGAATGAGGACTTTGTGTGGCATTTGGTTCTGGGAACACTGCTTAGTCTATTCCTTGGCATGGGACCTGTAGGGCAGGTTTGCAAAGGCATGACACACACTCAGACTCACAGAGCGCCTACTGATTCTGCTTCTCCTTCCTGCCATTTACCCACTAGTCACCCCAGCCCTCCCTCACCAGTCCAAAGTTCTGTCACCTTCCCCTCTCCACAAATTGCTTCCCAGGTGGGATTTCCCAAGAGGACTTCACTTGCCCTTTCGTGTGTTACAATGAGAATGACTTCCTTCCTGCCACAGCACAGGAGTCACTACACAGTCACAGAGGAGACTCGGCTCCCGCCATGCCTTATGCTCTAATCACTCAGAAGCTAGACCTCTGGGGACTCTCCAAAGAGCCTTCCCCGAGCATCTGGACCACAAAGTGCAAGGACTCTGAAGCGAGGGCAGTTTATCTTCCTGTGTCACCACCACAGGATGCTGTTGCTGCCACCAACGCCTAAAGCTTGGGTTGAGCAAGAACTATCTGTCCCCACCCTGGACCATTTCCCCAACAGTCAGGACTCTCAACAGTCCTAACTGGGGAATCAAACTCTAGTGTTCAAGGGGACTGACTCCATCTCCTGCTAAGCAGCTTCTCTCCGGTTTTAGTCTCCATCTTGGTTGTCATTTCCCTGGATCACAATTACAAGTGACTTTCGTTCTTTATCTATACAGACAAGGTTGACTACCCTTTCCTTCCTGGTTGTTTACCCACTGAGAGCTGGACTTTCCTGTGGGGTGGTATGGTCCTCAGAGGTCTGGGAAGCTAGAAGGACAAAATGAAGAGATGGCAGAAGGGGAAAAGAGGGGAGAGGAAGCATGAAGCCCAGTGAGTCTTGGCCCTACTATAATTCCCAGTTCCCCCAGGGGAAGCGGAAGAGGAGTTGGCAGGTCTTCCAGTCCCTGTCTGAGGTAGGGGTGGGGCAGAAAAACCTAAGGTGAGGCCAATCATAAGCCAAGGGTGAAGGGAAGTTACATAGGTGGTGGGTTGGGTCCTGAGAGAAGGTGACTGGGAGCAGTGCTACCTTTGGGAAGAAGACTGGAATTGGCTGATAATCCCAGGGAGCAGACTGGGGTGTTTATTAAAATTAAACTACCCCCATCTTCCCCTCAACATTAAGCCTCCATTGTCCCCTCATCACTGTGTGTGACCTCTGCTGGGTTTGGAATGGCATTTACTAGGATGATTAAAATTTCTTGTTTGCCCTGGACAGTCTTGGTTTATGTGCATTACCCTGGCAAAAATCATGCAGAACATCCCAGTCACTCCCAAAAATATCCTAGTTTGAATGATAAATTATACAACCACTCTAGCATCTTCAGTGGGACACTGACACTAGGGAAAGCGATGATGAAATCAGAGAGGAGCCTAATTAGAAATGAAGCCCTCATGGTTTAGAGCAACAGCCAAGAAGGCTTCAGTCCAGCTGGATCCCTCCAGATCTGGAAAGTAGTGAAGGGAGAGACAGAGGGCTGCTGCCCCTCCTGAGGCTCTGATTGTCTTGGCGGCAGGAGCCTGGTCTGCTGGGATCTGCTTCCTTTCATTCCTCAGATGGCCTGGCACCACGCTGGGCACACAGAGGCTCTTCATCAATCATTTCCTTACTTCTCTCTACCTGCCTTCCAAATGGACCTGCAGCAAAAGCTAATGGAAGCTAGAGCCAAATAAGTTCCTATCCAGAATAAATCTGAATGTTATTCAGGTTCTTCCTGGTCCTACTCTGTAGCCAGGAGAACCCCATTGCTGCATAGACAACAGCAGGTTTCTAGCAGAGGTTCCAGAAGCTGATCTCAACTAGGATGTTCATGGTTTCCTTAGGATATGGGGCAAAGAAGTGAAAAACCAGAACTCTTTCTCATGTCTTGGATAACAACTTGGTCTAGCCCTTCAGGCCTCACCTTCTTTATGTGCTGAGTAGAGGGTAGAGGCCCAGGAGATGGATTGGAGCTTCCTTTACAACTCAGTCCCAAAAGGTATCAGTTCTGAGACCAAAGAGAGGAAGAAGACTGGAGAACCATAAAACCAAATAGCCAAAGCACCCAAAGAGCACCTGGACCTACCACAATGTACAAACAAAGTCTGATGGTCTTGGCTTAAGAAAAGTGAGGGGTCAAGAGAGCTTCCCCACTGTCTTCCTTTCCCTCCTTTCTTACTCTATTTTCAGTCTTGGTAAGGGACCAAGTCATAGCTAATCAGGACCAGCCAAACCCAAAGACATGGGACCCAGCCAGAGCACAGACCATGAATTCCCCAGCTTTTTGCAGTTTGAGTCAGCCCAGCAGCCTTGTTGGCCTCCCTGAATTCCTCTCAAACAGGTCTAGAAAGGCTACTGAGTGGGGGGCCATGGGCTCTGGGGCACCTATTTCTGCTCATGGATCTTCAGCACCCACAACAAAAGCCAGGGAGAAATTTTCACTTTTACTACCTCCTGGTCTGGCTACATGGCAGTCCTGAAACTACTCCAGAGTGACCCACAATTCCCTCCAGCACTCCAATGGCGAGGGGATAGAGGAAGGGCCCCCAATACACAACATTCTCAGTTCATAGCATTGAGGCTCCTGTGTACAGACAACCCATCCCCACCTCAGCAAACCACCCCCAACTCTCTAGACTGGGTTAAAGCATTATTTGCATTTTGTGGTTCCAGAATCCTCCCAATTTCTTCTTCATGCCTACCTCAGTAGCAGAGATGGGCAGCTACAAGACCACAGAGAACAAATGGGATGAGAAGCTGGAAAATTCTGCAGTGCTGGGGTGTACCTCTCAGTTCTAGAGAAGGATAAGAGATGTGGACTTACCACAAAGCCACAATCCCTTCACAGTCAACTCCTTCTAGAATCATCCCATAGCCATCAAATAACCACTGCTGTGTTGGGTGTCTGAACCCCTGCCCACTGCCCAATAGCCATGGGAAGACTGCCTTCCAGCAGGGAGCCACAGCAGAGCTGAACTCTGCCCAGGAGAACTTCTGCAATGCTCAGAAAATGCCTGCCCAACTGCTTGCCTGGGCTCTGGCCCCTCTGGCTGCAGCTGAGCCCAGACAGGAGGCTGACTCACTCACCACAAGGAGGAGGAGGAGGAGGAGGAGGAGGAAGAGAAGGGCCTAGGTACAGAGATTCAAGGTCCCCCTAGCCCAAGCAGACTGTCTTAGCCTCTGGTCCATGGGAGAGGGCACAGCTGTCCGCTGACCCTGGCCACCACACAAAATTCCTTCCTAGATACTTCCTTTGAATTCTCTCCCACCACCAACAAATTCGGGGCCCCTCACTCTCCAAGCAGAAACAGCTCCTCAGGCCCCCACCGGGCTTATATGCTTGCCCTTGTGTTCCTCTGGACATCTATGGATTGGCTCTCCTGAAAAGTTAATCCACTGCACCAGTCAATTACGTCTCAAATAATTGGTGGCTAAAGTCAAGAAAAGAAAAATACTCTACGTAAAAGATCCAACTTCACCATCACAGGTGGCCATACTAGGGCTCTACAGGATAATAAATAAAGCTACACACACTCCACCCCCAGAAGTCCTTAGTACCATCGACAGCCAATCGCACCCTTCCTTATTCTTCCCCTCCATGCCAAGGCGCCCGATGGAGGAAGAAACAAATGGGTCTAGTAACCCAAATGCTAAGCCCTGTCCTAGCTGAGCACTTTCTACGCTGAATTGCCTGAATGAACATCGAGGAGGTGGCTGCCCCCTCGCCAGCTTGGCACAAACTTCAACTTTTTCAAACCTCAGTGCCCCCTCAGTGTCCCAACCTCATGGCACAACAGCCCGGATCTCAGTCGCCAAGTTTTGTTCCTGAGACTTACACTCAAGTGCTTGCACACGGGCACTCAGATCTCCGGACCTCCGAAGCCCCGAGCCAGGATTCAGTCCCTATCCTAGAACCCCCTTCCCCGCAGCTCCCAGGTCCGCACCTGGTCCGGCGGGTGAACACGCAGCCTGGCGCTCCCGACTCCCCTGCTGCCTTTTGACAAGCACGGACTGCCCAGCACCTGGCCCCGCCCCCGGCCCCGCCCCGCCCACTGGTCCCGCCCACAGCCTCTGTCCCCTGTTGCCAAGCGCTCCCTCCGCGCTGCAACCATCTTGACTTGGAATCAACCACTGCACGGCCGCCTTGGAGTCCTTGCCTGGTGAAACCTCTCACGGCTGCCTCGATAGAGTTAGGCATACCCTGCCCCGTGTGGGACGGAGTTTTCAATGATTTCGTATGTGCAGATCCACGCTTCTGCCTGCGATAATAGAGGATGCCTCCCCGCTACCCCTGCTGCCGTGGTTCTACCCAGCCTGCTGCGGACGCCTCAGCCAGGTGCGTCACCCCCACCTAGGCTGACCCGGCCTGGGCCTTGTCCCCCGCAGGTCGCTGGGGGGCGCCTGCCGAACCAGAGCCATTCTCTCCGCGTTCGTGGGGAATCCCGAGCGCCGCTTACAGCGGTGTTACTTCTGCAGAACGCCAGGAACCTCAACCCTATTCCAAGAATTAGGATAAAACAGCACACCCTGTCGAAGTGGAGCCTGGAGTTGCATCATTGCTACCACCGACGTCCCCTTGGCAGCGACAGCCCTAAGCACGTTCCTGGCCCATCGCTAATCTCATTCCCGCGCGCTTAGTCTTAGCTGCTCTGATCCCCTGTCCCCCCTGCCCCCCAGCCCCGCTTCCCACCGTGACGTTGCTGTAAGGGAAGGGAGGAGATAAAAAGGGAAAAAGTGCATTCTGAGTCCAGGATTAGTGGATGATTGTGGAAAATTCACCACATAAATTTTTGGCTAAAAATTAACTTCACTCTGCTTACCAATATAAGCACTCAATGCTAGAAGAGAGGTGAAAAAGACGGGGTCCCCCGCCCCCTTAGAGGGGAACTGTCCAGTAGGAGAATGTTTAAATATATATAGTAATCACAACAAAATCGCAACAGCATGTTCCAGAATAGAGATACCCACAAAGTCATCCAGCAGATGGTGACCTCCTTTAGGTAGGGAAGATATTGCTGTTTGCCTCTTGCAGAGGAGAAAGCCTGCGCTGAGGGAACAAGTGCAATAGGCAAGAAATTGAGGCATAGAAAGGGTGAGTGATTTGCCCTCCATGACCCAGCACTGCAGCAATGCAGCAAAGGACTAGTACCAGAGCCCAGCAAGTTTGCTGGTGCAATGAACCAATTTGGAGACAGCTATTCCAGACTGATAACCAGCCTTTCCCAGATCTCAACAATATGATCCCAAGAAATGGACTGAAGCTAAACAGAAGGAAGTTCAAATGGTGAAGTTGTGAGGTGAAGCTGAAGCAGTTCATTAAGGCACTTTCTCTGGCAAGGCTTAAAAGGAGGCAGGGCGGGAAAGGGAGAGAGATACCCATTGTTTAGCTTGGGAATAGATCATCAGTTCCCCCAAGAAACAGATAGATGGAAGTGTCCCTTTGAAGGTTCTATCTATCTAATGGACAGATTCTCTATTTTAAGAAAAGTAAAGAAATACCTCCCTTGCTCAAAGCATCCTGAGAAAGCTAGCAGTGATTCTCATGGGAAGAAAAGTATAAGAGATATCTCTAACAGCCAACACCTGAGGAAGTCCCATGAGCCTCTGGAAGAGGTTGATCACTCAGAAGTCACTTTTGTGGTGTTTAAAGGGCATAGCATCTTGCAAATAAACCTTAAAAAAAGGTAATGAAAGATGAGTAATAAGAATTCCATAGTTGTTGACTATGAGTCTTTTTTCACAGCTTTTGGTTGAAGCAGTGAAACTAGTATTTAACATGTATAAAACATTTTAGAGTATAAAAGGATTCTTTGGAATATCTTTTCTTTCTTTCTTTTCTTTTCTTTTTTTGGTACTGGAGATGGAATTCTTTACCACTCAGCTATATCCCCAGTCCTTTTACTTGCTAAGTTGCTGAGAGTCTTGCTTAGATATCGAGGCTGCCTTCAAACTTGCAACCCACCTGCTCTCTATCTTTAATCTCGCTGGGATTGAAGGCATGTACCACCACAGCCAGTTGAAATATTTTATTCAGCCTTTATTATAACTTTTTGGGACAGGCAGATTAGAAAATACTCTCCCTATTGTACAACAGATGTGCAGAATTGTCAATATTTTTACAGCTAGGAAATGATAGAGCCACTTGAACACAGGTCTTCTCTCTGAACATCCTTACTGTTCCATGCTGCCTCTCAAAAAATAAAAAATATTCCCATGTACTTTTCACCAGTTGTCTAGCTAAACCAGCCTTCTCCAAGATTATAAGATTATAAATATTGTCACTGTGTTAACATATATCCTATCATAGTCATATCACTATGTCCCTAACCATTTTCTTATCAACCTCCCCATACCTGAATGACTGTCTCTCATCTGTCTCTCCAGACCTGTCCTTTAGATCCTGTATGTTTTTTTTTTTGAATTTTTTAATATTTATTTTTTAGTTTTTTCAGCGGACACAACATCTTTGTTTGTATGTGGTGCTGAGGATCGAACCCCGGGCTGCATGCATGCCAGGCGAGCGCGCTACCGCTTGAGCCACATCCCCAGCCCAGATCCTGTATGTTCCATCAAATCTTCTGCAACATCTCCAGGCCAAAATGACCCATCATTTCTCTAGTCTTTCTATTATGAATTGCTGTATTGCATAGTTTGTCACCTGATAACAAGCCTCTTATATCTACATTGAAAACAAATGGATTTTTTTCACCTCAGCTTTATTCTTATGAGAAAGGTTATTTTGCAAAAATAAAAAAGCAAGAATACATGAGTTGCACTTTTCCCTGTTCAGTTGTAATCACTAATTGTCTCCTGATCCTGCTTCTTTCTAGCCAGGTACCAGAAAGGCTAGTGAGAAAGAGAGTCCCCTTCTCTCAAAGCCTGATGACAGGTGGCATTTCTGCAGTATAGATTTGGGTTGGGGCAGTAGCCCAGTGTTAGAACACTTATTGTATAGTGTTTATGAAACCCCAGGTTCAATCCCCAGCAACTCAAAAACAAACAAAAACCCTGCAGATTTAGTAGCTTAGAATTCCTTTAGTTAGACTGCTATGTAGACCATTTACCAGATCCTCTACAGAAAACATGAATTTTCCCCCTTTCCCCTCTAAAGTTAACATTTCTTGTATTTTCACTTGTCTTTAGGAGGGATAGTGGTGGTTACTAGGGGAATGTTCAGATTGGTTTTGGTCAGTACCTATCTCTAATCAATTGCAACAGGGGATATTTACTAAGTGCTTGCTATGTTTGAGATGCCACACTCCAGTGCTAGAGACTCAAAGATGTGTATCAAAACAAAAGAGCCCTGCCAGGTGCATGCCACCCTTGTGAGGTGAGGCCACCCTTGTGGGCTTTATTCTACAGAATCCAGGGGAAAGCAGAACCTGGCCTCTTAACCTCTCTGACAGGCTCTGGGAGCCTGCAGGTGCCCAGACAGGTGGGGCTGTAGTCAGGGTACAGGGCTGCAGCCTACACTCAGCTGATGGGCTCCTCTTTTCTGTAGCCTGGATACTGCCTTCAAGGCTGATGGACACTCTCTGAACCTCTTGCCATGATGCCAAGACTTTGAATGGATCACCTTGTCCCTTTAAGGTTCACAGGGACCCTGTCTCCATGGACAGAGGGTCTAAGCTGTCCAGAAGCTGCTCACCAGGTAAAAGTGTGCCCTTTGAACTCTCTGTAGAACACTCCCATCTGACTGTTTGCTTTTGCCTTTTTTAGGGCCCCCTTTTCCCCTTAAATATTTTATGGTTATGGGCATGGGAGGACTGAAGAGAAGACTGTCAGTAAACTCAAAGAACATTGGGAGAGACAGACATAGGGACAAGGCTTCTCATTTAGTTCTCTTTATATATATATATATATATATATATATATATATATATATATATATATAAAATATAAATTTTTTAATCTTTATTTTGTTGATTTATTTTTATGTGGTGCTGAGGATCGAACCCAGTGCCTCACATGTGCAAGGCAAGTGCTCTGACACTGAGCCACAACCCCAGCCCCATCATATATATATTTATATAAATATTTATATAAATATATAAATATTTATTTCAGTTTTAGGTGGGCACAATATCTTTATTTTATTTTTATGTGGTGCTGAGGATCTAACCCAGTGCCTCATGCATGCTAGGCGAGCACTCTACCAGAGCCACAACCCTAGCCCATTGTTTTATATTTTTAAAAAATTAAGTCCAGAAAGGTTAGCTAATTTATCTTTCAGGACAAAAAGGATCTGGAACTGTTCTCTCTGTTTATGTTCCAGATGGTGAAAATGAAATGAATAAATGGAAAAAGCTGTAAGCAATGAAGGCAAACCAAACAAAAGGTCTTTCCAGGACAGTGTTTTTTGAAATTTTAACTCAACCCATAGTAACAAATGAGTTTTTATCATAACTTAGTATACTAATGCATATAGATAAAGTTCAAGAAATGAGAGGTTTCCCTACAATGTTTTCTATTTTTCCCCTTCCTCCCCTCTTCCCTCCCTTCTCCTTCCTTCCTTTTTTTCTTCCTCCCCTTCTTTCAGTTTGGGGTCCAGCAAACTGATTTCACAAATCATTCATGGGTTGTGACCCAGAGTTTTAAAAATCCTGCAGTAGGTCATGGGCTATGCTGAACTTATTGTTTGACTAACCAATAGATAGAAGGGTCTATCCAGGCATTCGATTGAATTTCGCCTTTCTGAATGACCTGCACAAGTCCATGTCACCATGGGATTCCCTTAGTTAGAACCTGAAATAAGATCGACAGAAAGGCATTTGAGAGACCAGCATGCTTATAAGGAGCAACCTCAGAACCCTACAGTGGTTCCATGGTGGCTTCAGGCCTTTCAAGGATCCTCCCTCCAAAGTCATACAGTCAGGGCAAGGTCACTGAGGAAGTGACCCAGTGTCACTGTATCCACTCAGTGTTGGCTTTTGTGGCCTTAATTCTGTTGTGATCTTATCAGCCTCTTGCA